CAAAAAAACAACAACAACAAACAAACAAATAAAAATCAACCCACACTCCAATAATGATATTTTACGGGGACCGTTTGGACAAAGACAAAACTAATAGCCGGATTAGGTAGACTGGCTGCAGTCTCCTTGTTGTCTCTGTATGTGTGATCTGTAATTTCCTTCCGAGTGGGAGCAAAATATAGAGCACTGGATTGATAAATAGCAGCATGTCTTGATAATCTGCTTTATCAGCCCCACGCACTTCGGTGTGGCTGGCATATGCAGAATGAACGGAAACCTTCGACACTGATTTCTGAAACATATTGGAAGAATGATTCAGAGGTTGTTGATTTAAGGCTAAATGGACAAAATTATAAATATTATAAATAAACATTCTCAAAAGGTTGAACTAAAGAGGTTGCAAAAGCCCATATTTTCGGTGGTCAGTTTTCATGCTTTTCAGACTTTAATGCAGACTTCACCACGGTGAGTAAAGGTACTCCGACGGAACAGTACTAACAAACGAAAGTGTAATTTATAATTGATTATATTATTTAAACATCAGTTTCGGCAATGACACACTCGTCTTGGTAAGACGTTCAGGTAACTTGGATTTTTTTTTCTTGATTTGTTTACAACGAAGACACAAGGCTATCCAAAAAGCATCAACGGTTTTTAAAAGCACAAATAATGACCTAGTTATGTTGAAATGATATTATTGATGTCAGGTCAGCCTTTGTGCTGCTACCATAATGACAGTAGAGGGTACTCCATGCAGCTTTTCTTACTGCCTTGTGTGAGCATACGGAGTATGAAAGGCTTATGGAGTAAACTCTAAACAAATTCGGAGGGAGGGCCTCTAAGGCAGTCGACAGGGATGAATGATTCGAACTATCTTCTGGCTGCCCCTGCAACTCTACTGGTTCAAAATGTATTGACCTTGTCTCTCCTTTCGACTAAATCAGCAACGTCGAGAGGGGCTTCGTGCAAATTGGGCAAGGCACGTTCTCCATACAGTCAAGCCCAGGCATTTAGCTTAGTCAAGATTTCAATATTTCTAGGAGGACACTGCAAACATCCCTTGATTTTCATATCAACATCAGGATAGGGAAAGTAGCAACAACTTTTGGAAAGCTGACAAAACGAGCATAGGAAAACAAAAGATTAACCATCAAAGCAAAGATCAAGATTTACGAAGCAAGTGTCCTCAGCATACTCCTTTATGGATCTGAAACATGGACCTTGTAGGCCTACAGCGAAAATACAGAGCTTCAGTCCACGTTACTGACATGCAAGCACTGCGACAGAATCTACGCTTCAAACATAAGAAGAATTAGCCTTTAAAGAAGCTGCATCATAAAGACAACCTTGAGACCATCTTAAGCGAAATTGGACGTCAGCATAGACGAAAAGAGCCACACATTATTGCAGCATACTCATTCACGTGGCCAGCATGGGGAAAAAGGGGGGGAGGGGGCGTCAAAACGCTAGCTTTTTTTTAAAACGGTGTACATTCCCAACCAATATAACGTCTCTTCTGCCTTTGGCCTTTTCGAAAGAACCGAAGCAATTTTTAAAAGAGCTACGACTGGAATGTTTGTATTAAGGTGCCTTTTTGGTTCGGTGTCCTTGAAGAAGCCTAGTCTCTGTCTGTCTGTCTGTCTGTCTGTCTGTCTGTCTGTCTGTCTGTCTGTCTGTCT